GCGGCGGGGGTCCCGGCCACTCCCCCGCCCTGCCGCACCGGCTCCTTGGGACGCTCTGGGTGGGGAGTGTCTTCAGACCAGGCCTGTGGGCGGCCTCCCTGCCACCCCCCGAGGGAGACGATACCACTGGCTCCACCCAGGGAGGGGCAGAGGCTGCCTCCACCCAGTGGGCACAGGCAGGCCAGGCCAGCCCCGCCCTCGTGCACTACCCGTCTTCGGGACCCACCTGGGAAGGCCTCCTCCTGGCGCCGGTCCCCGGGCGGTGTACCACCATCATCCTCGCCCCACCAGGAGGGCTGCCCATACAGGGGTGTGCGGTACGGCGCGGTCTCTGCAGAGGGACAGGGTCCAGACCTGGGCTCACTGTAGCCCAGCATGGACAGGGGAGGGGAGCCCAAGAGGGGCCAGGCCCTGGGACAGGCTCTGCCCTCGTGTCCAGTCAGTGGCTGACCACGCTGACCCCATCCCTGCACCCCTGGGAGTGACAAGTGACACAAGTGCCCAGCCCCGCTGGCCTCCCTGAGGGTGGCTGTGCTGGGGAGGCTCCTCCCTGGGGAGGCTCAGCCCCTCAGCCCTGCCCAGGCAGGAGGTGGGGGGGAGTTCCCTTGGGGCCAGCCCCGCTCCGGGAATCTATAAATGCCTCAAGCCACACAGCCACGGCCCTAGGGGCTGAGGGCCCCCACCTGGACGCCCCAGGCGGCATCTGGCCTGCTTTGGGTTTGTTTCCACACCCAAGGCACTGGTCAGAAGTTAAAAGTCGTATTTTACATGAAATCTGATTTTCCAGCCTCCGTTGAAGAGGGAAACCCAGGTGGCCACAGCGGGGAGGAGCTCTGTCTACCCCAAGGCCTGTGGCAGTGGGGATCTGGCTGGGAGTGGGAGCAGGGGAGGGCAGCGGGCAGCGTGGGAACCGGGCCTGCAGGACTGAGACCTCCGGAGCCCAGTGGGCCCTGCCCCGCCCCGGTGCACTGGGTGGGAGGTGGGGTCCCAGCCCTGGGCCATCGCTGAGCTCCTGGCTCCACGCGCACGCCACCTCCCCCACGGGCCACTGCCGCCCTGCCTAAGCTCATGCCAGCTGTGTGTTGTGTCCCGGAAGCTGACAGGGGCTCTGGGCAGCCCGTGTGGCTCTCTGGGAACTTGCCTGGCCCTCAGTGACCCCCAAAAGACAAGGACAAGTGGATCCCCGGATGTGAAGGGTATTGTGTGCTGACCGCGAAAACACACGGGCCGTAGCTGTGGGCACGACGCCCCGCTCTGGCAGAAGGTGGAAGCAGGAAGCCTGAGCCCCTGCCACCCAGGACGCAGGTCACACACGGGTGCAGCCCCGATCCCCTCCTGGGCCCTTCCTTGGCCCCTGCTGGCTGCTGCATCAGCTGCCAGAGGCACAAACCAGCCCCGCCCAGCCCCCTCCACGCCAGGTCCAACCTGAGGTTCTCACGTGCTACGCTGCTGCCCAGCCCACTGGCCCTGACCCGCGGGGAGCCCGTGTGAGGGCTGAGGCATGGGGTCGCGTGGTGGGGAGGCTATGGATGCCCAGGCCACGGGCATGGTGGGAGGCAGCAGCACACAGGGTTGGCAGCCGGGCTGGGAGGGTCCTGCCCGCCCCACCTGCTCTCCCGGGCTTACCCACTCCTGGTCGCCGCTCCCCTTTCTCAGGTCTGGGGTTCGAGGACTCGCAGTAGGGCGCGTGCTCGGGCAGCACCTCACTCCTCTTGGGCGCCGGGCCCGGGACACTCACCTGCAGCTGGCTGGTGTACTTCTCCTGCTGAGAGGAGGCAGGGCGCCAGCCTCAGAGGGGTCCCCCCAGCGGGCTTGCCTCGCCCCTGTGCAGGGTCCCCTTGCCCCCAAATAGCAGTCTGAGCTGCACCTGTCCCAGTCACACAGCAGGGGCTCCATAGCAGGCCAGGGTCCCGGGGCCAGCAAGCTTCAGAAGGGAGTCAGCTCCCAGGTGGGCAGAGACTACCAGAGGGGGTCTGCCGGGGTGGGCCCAGCCCTCACTGGCTATAGGACCCTGTGTCCGTCTGCTCCACAGGGCCCCCAATATATACCATGACCCCTACACACAGGAGGGGCGGGGCTGCCACCCAGAGCCCTCATACCCGGCTGGGCTCCGTCTGGCATGTGTCCCGCCGCTGCGAGGCCTCAGAGGGGTCCCCCCAGCGGGCTTGCCTCGCCCCTGTGCAGGGTCCCCTTGCCCCCAAATAGCAGCCTGAGCTGCACCTGTCCCAGTCACACAGCAGGGGCTCCATAGCAGGCCAGGGTCCCGGGGCCAGCAAGCTTCAGAAGGGAGTCAGCTCCCAGGTGGGCAGAGACTACCAGAGGGGGTCTGCCGGGGTGGGCCCAGCCCTCACTGGCTATAGGCCCCTGTGTCCGTCTGCTCCACAGGGCCCCCAATATATACCATGACCCCTACACACAGGAGGGGCGGGGCTGCCACCCAGAGCCCTCATACCCGGCTGGGCTCCGTCTGGCATGTGCCCCGCCACTGGGAGCTGGGAGCGGGGTGTTCAGTGCTGGCCACTGCACCCCCGCCCACACTGGCCTCAGTAGGACCTCTGCATCCAGGATGCTGAGTTGGGGGGCATGTCGTCCCCACCTCCTCCTGGGCTCCCGGCCCGTGAGCCCCCTGAGGGCCACAAACCAGCCCGGGACCCAGTTAAGGCCAGCGCCTGGCTCAGATGCCATTGGGCCACAGCTGGCCAGCGCTAGCCCTCGTCCTCGGCACCCTAGACACTGCTTTCCTGCTGTGCCTGTGTCCAGCTGCCCCACCACCCACTGCTACTGTAGTCTTGGGATGGATGGCTGCAGCCCACGGGCCAGAGCGGGCCAGAGCGGGCAGCCCAGCAGAGCGGGCAGCCCAGCAGAGCGGGCAGGCCAGACCTGGCACCCATGGCCGGGACAGGGCACCGGGGCACCTGCTGGGCAAGCCAGGCGGTGTGTGGGCCTCACCTTGAGCGCCTCCTCGGGCACGCGGTGCTGCACACGCTCCAGCACATACATGTTGGGGTGTGGTCACGTTAAGGACAACTCGGGGCTGGGACAGCGGTCACTTGCTCCCCGGGCCTGTGTGACCTCAACCCAGCTTAGGAAGCTGGGGCCCCTGGGCTCCCTGGGTGCCTGTCCACGGGCAGGCCTAGCCCCGGCCACCCCTGCATGCTCCCGCAGGGGTGCAGGCCCGTGTGCCAGCAGGACAGGATATCATAGCCGAAGCGGACGACATCATGGAGCTTCAGTGTGACGTACTTCTGGTCCGGGATGCGCATGTCGTTCACGAATGTCTGCGGAGGGCACGGGCGCCGTGGGGAGGGGGCCGGGGATGACCCCTCTCTCTGAAGCCCAGGGCCAGCCTAGGCCTGTGTGCCCTGCCACAGGCTCCACTAGACTAAAGGACAGAGCCACCGTCTGGGTGGCCGAGGGGACTAGGCAGTGGCAGTGCTGCAAGGCTGCCGTGGCCCCTGGGCGCAGAGCCCCTGAACGTCTGTGGTCTGACTCGGGGAGGCTCTCCCTCACTGTCAGAGCCTCCCGCCAGCCTCAGCCCCTCCTGGACCCACAGGGCCCGTGCAATGACAGTGGCATGCCTGCCCTGTGATGGCCTGGGCACGCCCCACCCAGGCCTCCTGCTTCGAGGCTGTCAATAAGCCAGCCCCAGGGCCCTCTCCCTCCAAGAGCGGCCGGCCGGCTACCAGACAGCACAGGGTGAGACGGCTCAGCAGGGCTCGGGAAGGAGAGCCCACAGACGTGGGAGCTGCGGGGACAGGGCGCCTTGGGGGCTCCACTGCAGGACCTGGGTGTGGCTGTGTCGTGGGCAAGCACAGTCCCTGCGCTCTGAGCAGGGAGGGGCTGCGAGGCTGCTCCTGCAGCCCTGAAAGCTGAGCTCCCCTGGGTAGAAGGTGGCCACAGCCCTGTGGACATGCCAGGCCCCAAGGGAGCCAGCCCCGTGGGGCCCAGGAGCGAGGGCCAGCAGCCCTGGACCTGCTTGAGGCAAGCCCTGGGCGGGCTGCATAGCAGAGGGGAGGTGCCCACTCGGCAGCTCTGCAGGGGTGCAAGAAGGGCTCACACAGCCCCGTGTGGTCACCTCTGGGGACCGAGGGTGGCACTCAAGCCTAGCAGTTTCCCAACTACAGCAGGGACGGGCTCAAGTCCACTGACGCGGAAAGCATGGACCCCTGGGGCCCTGGACGTCAGGTGGCCACACGCCTGCCCTCCCTGCTGCTCCCACCCCTCAGTTCTCACCTGACCGCTCTGCCCCTGCCCTGCAGTCAGGCCTCGTCCCTCCTGCCCTGACCCACAGAGGAGAAGGTGACTCCTCCCACACTCAGACAGGGTCTCCAGGCACAGCTCCTTCCAGCTCAGGGGCTCCGCTTCCCTGCCCAGCACCGCCCCTGCAGGCCTGGGTCCCTTCCTCCCGAGCAGGTGGCCAGAGGTGGGGTGGGCTGAGGCGGGGCCAGAGCAGAAGGGCAGGACCACAAAGAGAGAGGACGGTGTCCAGGCGGGGCTGGTGTCCAGGGGCACTCACCCCGTTGAGGCTCCCCAGGTCCTTCACCCAGTGCTCATCCCGGTCCCGGTCGTAGTTGATAACAGCATGCTGCTTGTCCACACTGCGGGACTGGGGAGACACACAGCCCTCAGTGCCCGTCTCGGGAGGTGAAGCCCGGGAGGCAGAGGCCCTGTGAGCCACTTCAGTGCAGTGTGGACTGCAGAGCCCTGGGCCCTGGCCCCCAAGCCCTGCGACGCGGCCGAGGCCAGGCCACTCCTGTAGCCTCTTCGCACAACCTGGCCCTCCCTCCATAGCCACCCTCCCCAGCACACAACCGGCTCTGGGTGCCTGCTCCGAGGTCAGCCACAGGACCACAGGGTGGGAGCCAGAGTCCCCTGGGACACGCTGTTCCCCTCCAAGGACAGCCAGGCAGTCGGCCCGGCTCCACCAGCGAATGTACGAAGCACGTGCAGGGTTAGGCTGGCCTCCAGGACGCCCGCGTGCAGTGTTGGCATGCTCCTGCCGGCTCCTGCGTGAGCACGTGCGCTCACACGGGTACACACGTGGAGGCGCTTCCGCCCTGCGAGCATCCCCCTTGGCTATGCTCCCACAGGGCACTGGGCTCAGCCTCCAGAGCAGAGCCTGGGCCACAGCGTCACTTGCACCCTGGGTCAGAACCGAACCTCTCCTGTCACTCACGGCCAGGGATATGCAGGCCACCTCCCAGGCAGCCTGTTGCCACTTCAAAGCCCCACCTTCTACGTAGTACTCCCCATCTCAAAGCACCCAGTGGAGGGGAGCAGGCCAGAGGGCAATGGCCGCGGCCACCTCCATCAGACCCCAGCTTGTGCCTGCACCTGGGGATGCCAGCGTCCAGGGCGCACCTCCTCCCAGGTGCCGGCTCCTGCTGGCTCTGGCCACAGCCCTCGCGGGACGAGGAACAGAGGTGCTCATGGGGGGATGCCTCAGGGTGAGGAGCACCAGAACCCTCTGGGGGAGCCCTGGTGCTGCCCCTGTGGCAGGCCCCGTGGTGTGTGTGCATGGGAGCTGCATGTGTGTATATATTGTATACACTGTGTGCGTGTGGGAGCTGCATGTGTGTGTACTGTATATGTTGTGTGCGCGTGGGAGCTGCACATGTGTGTGTCTACTGTATACGCTGTGTGTGCATGGGCACTGCATGTGTGTGTGTACTGTATAAGCTGTGTGCGCGTGGGAGCTGCACACATGTGTGTACTATATATACTGTGTGCACATGGGAGCTGCACGTGTGTGTACTGTATATACTGTGTACACGTGGGAGCTGCACACGTGTGTACTGTACACACTGTGTGCATGTGGGAGCTGCACATGTGTGTGTACTGTATATGCTGTGTGTGCATGGGAGCTGCACACGTGTGTGTGTACTGTATACGCTGTTTGCGTGTGGGAGCTGCACTCGTGTGTGTACTGTATACACTGTGTGCATGTGGGAGCTGCCCGTGTGTGTGTATTGTACACACTGTGTCCGCGTGGGAGCTGCACTCGTGTGTGTACTGTATACACTGTGTGCATGTGGGAGCTGCCCGTGTGTGTGTATTGTACACACTGTGTCCGCGTGGGAGCTGCACTCGTGTGTGTACTGTATACACTGTGTGCATGTGGGAGCTGCCCGTGTGTGTGTATTGTACACACTGTGTCCGCGTGGGAGCTGCACTCGTGTGTGTACTGTATACACTGTGTGCATGTGGGAGCTGCCCGTGTGTGTGTATTGTACACACTGTGTCCGCGTGGGAGCTGCACTCGTGTGTGTACTGTATATGCTGTGTGCATGTGGGAGCTGCACACATGTGTGTATACTGTATACGCTGTATGCACATGGGAGCTGCACATGTGTGTGTACTGTATATGTGTGCACGTGGGAGCTGCACATGTGTGTACTCTATACATCGTGCGTGGGAGCTGCACATGTGTGTGTACTGTATACACTGTGTGCATATGGGAGCTGCACCTGTGTGTGTGTACTGTATATGCTGTGTGTGTGTGGGAGCTGCACGTGTGTACTGTATATGCTGTGTGCATGTGGGAGCTGCACGTGTGTGTGTAGTGTATATGCTGTGTACACATGGGAGCTGCACACGTGTGTAGCATGTACTCTGTGCACATGGAAGCTGCCTGCAAATGTGTGTGTGCTGTGTACCCTAGTGAACGTAGGAACTGTGTACACGTGTGTGCACCGTATACCCTGTGTGCGTGTGAGATCTGTGCACATGTGTATATAACGTGTACTCTGTGTGCACATGGAAGTTGCCCACACATGTGTATGTAGCATGTATCCTGAGTGCACATAGGAGCTGCGCACATGTCTGTGTACAGTGTACCCTATGCGCATGCGGAAGCTGCGCACATGTGTGTGTACTGTGTACCCTGAGTGCACGCAGGGGCTGCACACACGTGTGTACTGTGTACCCTGAGTGCGCGTGAGAGCTGTGCACACGTGTATACCATGTACCCTGAATGTGCGTGGGAGTTGCGCACATGTGTGTGTACCATGTACCGAGTGTATGTGTGAGCTGCACACATGTGTGTGCACCATGTACCAAGTGAACGCGGGAGCTGCACACACATGTGTACTGTGTACCGAGTGCACGTGAGAGCTGTGCACATGTGTGTGTGGTGTGTACCCTGAGTGCACATGGAAGCTGCGTACATGTGTGTGTTCCATGTACCTTACGTGCACGTGGGAGCTGAACATACATGTATGTAGCATGCACCACAAATACATGTGGGAGTTGCGTACACGTGTGTGTACCGTGTACCATATTCGCATACGGGAGCTGTGCACATGTGTATGTAGCATGTAGCCCGAGTGCACGTGGGAGCTGTGCACACGTGTGTATTATGTATCGAGTATACACAGGAGTTGCACACGTGTGTGTACCGTGTACTGAGTGCATGCAGGAGCTGAGCACATGTGTGTGTGTATCGTGTACCCTGAGTGCATGCAGGAGCTGTGCACATGTGTGTGTACCATGTATCGAGTGCACGTGGGAGCTGCACACACGTGTGTTCCCTGAGTGCTCACAGGAGCTGCACACACGTGTGTACCGTATACCAATTGCGCACTGGAGCTGCGCACATGTGTGTGTACCATGTACTTTATGTGCACGCAGGAACTGCACACACATGTGTGTAGCGTACGTGGGAGCTGTGCATGCATGTGTGTGCCGTGTACCCTGAGTGCACCTGGGAGTCATGCGGGCACCGCAGGGCTCCAGCTGGAGAGCACTCACAGCCCTTCTCAGGCACACGTGCCAGCTTCGCACACAGCCACCAGCGACGGAAGGATGTGGAGGCAGGGAAGAGTGCACCCCGGGCCCAGGCCCACCAACCTGGTGTCTGAGACAGCACTTCTAGCTGTGCCTCGCCCAGAGTGGGCAAGCTCGGGAACTGCACACACGTCTGAGGGGGACGGTCATTGCTTTTGCTGCTAGAATGAGCACGCGCTTTCCAGACACAGATGGGTCACAGGAGCTGCACACACGTGTGTACCGTATACCAATTGCGCACTGGAGCTGCGCACATGTGTGTGTACCATGTACTTTATGTGCACGCAGGAACTGCACACACATGTGTGTAGCGTACGTGGGAGCTGTGCATGCATGTGTGTGCCGTGTACCCTGAGTGCACCTGGGAGTCATGCGGGCACCGCAGGGCTCCAGCTGGAGAGCACTCACAGCCCTTCTCAGGCACACGTGCCAGCTTCGCACACAGCCACCAGCGACGGAAGGATGTGGAGGCAGGGAAGAGTGCACCCCGGGCCCAGGCCCACCAACCTGGTGTCTGAGACAGCACTTCTAGCTGTGCCTCGCCCAGAGTGGGCAAGCTCGGGAACTGCACACACGTCTGAGGGGGACGGTCATTGCTTTTGCTGCTAGAATGAGCACGCGCTTTCCAGACACAGATGGGACAGGGTAAAACACCGCTGAAGGGCACGCCCTGCCCCAGTCCCTTCTCGGTCTTGCCATCCTGTTGGGACTCTGAGCACGCACACACATCCTGCCGTGGTTACGAGGCTCCAACACTGGATCCAAACTGCCGTCAGCTGTGTGGCATCTGGCTCCTTTAACCCCTAGGTACGGGCTGGCCCACGGGCCTCTTTTACAAGGCCTGACCTCCTCCCGAGGGTAGAGAGTCCTCAGCCTAAACCCTCCAAAGCCCCACTCCGGGTACTATCATGCTGGGCATTGAATCCCAACATATGGACGGATGTGGGGGCACAGGTGTGTGTGGGCCACAGCACGGAGGGAGCGGAGTGTCCCTGCATGCAGCCTGTCCTGGGGCGAGGGGACAACCGCTTGCTGCCCCAGTGAGAGCGTGTGTGGCCAGGGCCCCACTACGAGGGTTAGGACGGACGCTGGTCCCCGTTTGCACGCGTGTGTATGTACCGGGACACCTGCTCCTCCCCGACGGAGCCGTGCTCCCTCTGTCAGAAGCAGGGGTGCGCAGCGGCGGGGCGGGCGGCCACTCACCTGCAGCATGAGCTCGCACTCATCACGCCCCACGAAGATGAGCTCCCGCGGGAGCCGGTGGCGGGTGCCACTGCTGCTCACCAGGAACCAGGATGTGGCGCTCATCTTGCCCCCGACTGCCCTGGGGGCAGGAAGCATCATTAGAGAGGGGTTCCGCAGCCTCTGGACACGCCCACGCCCGCGCCCCCACTGCCCTGCCTCCTGGGCTCTGGCCACACCAGGCCCTGCCCTGAGAACTAGGCCTTCGGCCTATGGGACCTGCCGTCCCCACCCCCTGGCGAGGGTCCCTGAACCCTCCCTGACCTCCAGGCCCCAGCACTGAATCTCTTCTCTCAGGTGCCAGGGGTCCAGGTGTGGTTCACTGACCACACCACCTAAGTATGGACCTCAGACGTCCACGTGACCTGACCGGGGGCAGCTTCTGGGGGACCAAGTGGGGCCCCATGATGCCAGATTACAGGCATCAGACTCAGCCCAAGGTACAACCCTGAACGACTGGACACACAGGGCTGAGGCTGGGGGTCCCGACATCCCACACCGATGGCGGTCGTGTGTCCTCGGTGGCCACAACCAAAGGACGGCACGGAGCACTGGGGTATCGTGGCCCCGGGCACGGGCGAAGGAGGGCCTGAGGGGCCACGTGTAGGACCAGCAGGGAGCCACATGGTGACAGCCAGGACCCATGTCACCTGAGACCAGGCGCACAGCAGCCCAGGCCCGGGCCCAGCCAGCATGCAGACACACACTTGCACGCCAGGGCACACGGACACACTGCACACACATCGCTGCTCGCCTGGTGGTGGCTGGGAGCAAGATACCCCAGTCCCTGCACCCAGGCTCCCCTGCTGCCCAGAGGCAGACCCCACAGGGAGCAGCCTGCTGGGAGGGGGCAGGGAGGAGGCAGGGAAGGTGGCATCTGAGCACAGCCACCAGGGGGCGGAAGTAAGCATGTGGCCAGGCAGAGGGAAAGTCAGTGGAAGCCCGTGGGCATCCCAGTTTGTCTTGGGGTGAGATGGGAAGTCCTTGGAGGGCCCAGACCAGGCCCAGTGCATGAGCCACGGGCGAACCTGGGCCCGGCCTGGCCTGAGCGTGGGCTCAGGAGCCTGAGGCGGCGGGCTTCCTGAGCAGACTTCTGGTCTAGCTGTGCCATCCAGAGGTGAGCACAGTAGCCCAGGACAACGGACAGTGGCTGGCCGCGGGTGCGGAGGGGGGTTTGGGGGGGGCCCCTGG